ACAACGAGAAAAACAACAACAACAAGAAGAGTCGAGAGGAGTGAACATGAATAAATTATTCGAATATGTTCCTCCAGTGAACAATAAAGGATCACTTGAAAAAAGCAAAGTGGCAAAGAACATTAACACTATGAAAGCTCAATTCGAGCAATTGCTCTCCTCAAGTCGTGCTCATAATTTCATTTCACGTCAACTACGCTTACTTCAAGTATCACCCGATGAGGCAATGCCCAGTGAACAGTTATTAATGGCGTGTGAATTCATCAAAGCCAACTATCCACATTTGGCTGTTGTTGTCAGTAATTTTCATTAACTTTTCAAAAAATTGCATATCATTTCAATTGTTCTTCAGTTGGTCTACAGTCAATATTGCGTCTCTTTTGAACTTCAGCTGAAATCTGTTTATGTAAACATTTATTCGCAGAATTTCTTCCCTGATTAAAACTAAAGAAAAGTGCAAAAAATCGTATGAAAAGAATTACAGACAGAGATTAATCTTAGTAGGAAGTCCTGTCTTAGTTTTTGTCAATTAAAGTAAGCTTTAAGCGATTGCTTAAAGAAGTGCACGCTTTTGAAGCAAAATATGCGATTGAAACTTTGTAATCAAGCATAATGAAGTGGTGTTGTGCTCGAATGCTAAGGGTGTTCGAGTTGCAGCACTTATTGGAGATGTTGGATGGAATAAGACATCGGAACGGATTTGCGAGTGAGCATTCGTTGCGTGAATATTTTGACTTGATAACGATGCACATAAATGAGTGTCAGTCGAATGCAATTAATATCACCTCTGTGGACATACGGCCTCTGCGTTATGCACCCATTCTACATGCTAGACTTGCACGCATTTTCTCAGATCGGTTCGTCATTCTATGCCTCCTTTAGCCATATGACCATTTTCTCATATTCATTCAGTCGTAATAATGGTGTCATTGTTATTTTTATTGTAAATAGTGTAATGAAAAAAGAATGAAAGAGCAAACGTTCAGGGAACACGCACGTAATCTTCTGATAGAAGCAGTCCAACAAGCTCAAGCAAATCGTGACTTACTGTGTTTGAGATTGGCTGTTGTTGAACAAGCTGCAATTGACTCACTGGTCAATTCGCATCAATGTTTACCAGTTAATCATCAGTCAAACATGCAAATCAAGTCAACGTTCGATGGAAGTACTGATCGATTAAGTAGGTGCTCGCTTCACACGAATCCTTCTCGGTTTCATGAAATTAATGGAAATAGTACGCTACCTAATCGATCACCCAAAATTCTAAAATAATTTGTTTATTAAACAATGGTTGCAAGTAATTGATCGTATCCAACTGCACACAGTAATTCCAATTTCAGTTTATTCAAATTGACACACTTCAGTTGATTCGAATTTTTAGACTTCAGTTGATTTCTAGACTAATAAATTGAAAAATTTAAGCGTCCATATATAAAGTTTCATTGGTAATGTTGATGTCAATGTGGGCATCTGAAAATTCGGCCGAAGATAATTTGGATTCAATCGATGACGAAGGCGATGGTGATGATCGACGTTCGAGTTCATCTGAGACGCGTGCATTTGTTCGACAGCTTCGAGACTGCAGCACTCTGCTGAATTGTATCGAACTGGCGATCACTGCTGAAAATCACCAAACGTAAACGTTTTGTTCATTTTCTTTTAGATCATCTTCACCTTCATTTTTCGTGTTGTTCGTTTGAGACAATGGCATGACGTCGATGAAAATAAATCACTTCTCTAATAAATTTTGTGCAGCTCACGAATCGGTCATACTCCATGTGGAATCGGTGGTGGCATTGTATTTTATAAATAATCAGGCATTTCCGAATAACAACCAAAACGTAGTCAATGAAAAAAGATAGTTTTAGCGTCAGGAGTGGTCTACAGTCGTGCACAGTGGTTGATTATGGGGTTGGTAATGAGTGCTCGACACGTTTGGTGAATGAGGCAGCACGTGCGGTTGCAATAACGCTTAAATTACAGAATGGTTTTGTATCGAATGCAATGTGTGACGCGAATATATTGTTGTATTTGAATACAGGCGATAATTATTGTAAACGATATGATACGGAAGCACAGGTAATTGATCTTAATCACTCATTTGTTCGTTTAAAACAATCACTCAGATAAAGGTTAAGTCTTTTAAGTGAAGTTACACAAATGCATTTGTGCATGGTTGTTTGTGTTCGATACTTATGCTGCATAATTGGAATCTTTAGGTGATCGCAGCAGTGAATATTGTGTATGGACATGCAATGAATGGTCATTATTCAAATGCATTATCAATTCTAGAAAATATCAAACGACGGTTTACGTTGAAAAATAATTGGATTGTGAGTTATTCGTGGTGATTTGCATTTAAGAGTGAAATTTTAAGGTTTGAACGGATTGTTCTTTTTGCGTATGAACGGTAGTTTGTAGCGAATCAGGAATGTAAAGTGGTCTTTTGTTGCGTGTGAGGCAGAGTTCATTCAGTATATATCTATCAGCTTCACGACCGAATCTGATTCTGAGTTGATTCAGTGTGCGATGCATTGGAAACGTTGTGAATGTCTAGTTGAATTTGATAAAGCGTTTATGTTTGGTGAGTGGAATAACGCCCAAAAATGGTTGTTACATATCAGAACTCTCGCACCCGATGAAGCCAACCTCAGGTAAGCTCAAACTTGCATTCTTGCGTGGGGCTGACAATGTTTTACTGCACTCATACTCACTATTGTTTGATTTCATCTTCCTTCTGATGGTTATTAGTCAGACAAAATTTTTTTGTGTGAAACGTAATGGTTTTGTAAGCAAAAGATCATTGAATTATTGAAAAATGAAAAAAAATCCTTTTCTGATGCTGCTGTATCATGTTCGTTTCAAAATTTGTTCTTTCCACAATATTATACAACAGTCAGATTAGTTGTTTTTTTGATGGATTTTTTTTCAGAAAATCAGTATTACAGTTCTGTGAAGGCTACATCCCGGAAGCAATTGATCTAGCAGTTGAGCAAGTTGAACTTTGCAATAAGTCAAAGGATGTTCGACTGAAATTGAGGTGTTTAGTTTAAGGCTTCATTCCAGAAATTGTAATTTTTGTGTATGTCCGTGGATTCCGCTTCGAAAACATTACATTTTTGAGAACAAATATCTTCGTTGAGGAGTGAAATGGTGTTGGCGATGATTTATGCAGCATCGAGCAGATTGTTCGAAGCAAGAACGATATTGCAGCGATGTCGAATCACTGCGAAACAGTTTCATTTGGACAACTTCGAAGCGTTAATTATCCGAAGATTGGCTTCAATTGATGTTTGTTTCGTTTGATTCTCTGTAATTCTCTTCGATTCATTCGTTAGAATGTGCGTGCGTTTGATTCGTTTGAATGTGCAATGTTTATTGAAGGCGATCGAAGGACGTATGCAGTCAGCACTGTCGCAGATCAGTGCCTGTGAATGGCTCATCAAAACACGTTGTAGTCGAATTGAGAACGCACTCATGCAACTCACCGTCTTCATGTCTTATGCTAAATGCAAACTTCAGTCACTTATCAAAATCCCAGGTAAGAATTATAACCAACACTAGTTGTCAGTGATAAATAATTATTGCATTGCGCACTCGGTGAGGTTATCTTTAGGTGTCTATTTCTCAGCTGTAATATTAATAATTAGTTGACTGAGAGTGCTCACTAAAACGCGAAAACCGTTTCCAATTGGTTTTTTTTTCAATTTTCCAATTGAAAGGTGAACTTTGAATTGTTCAAGTTCGATTTCTCAAGTTGAACATGCATGAGAGTTTTTAGTTAGAAGTTGAGCTTGATCACTTTGTTGATTTGTCAGTGAAAAAGACAGTACTTCTTTCTAGTGTCAGCATTCAGCGACTTGAATGTTAACAAAATTCAATAAATTGCACATCATCATTCATCGCGTAACGATTATCTCAAACTGAATCAATGAGTTGCAGATATAGGTAATTTATTGGAAAATCAGTTGGTACGTACACGCAATGAATGTCGTCGAGCATCTGTTCCGTTATTAGAAAAAGCTTTACTGATTGAGGCTGCAAAGCTGTTTAATCGTTTGGAGCGAATTCAATTACGAGACGATTGCGCAGAAGCATATCATGAAATTGATCTCAAATGCTCGTCGTCTCTGAATTGGATCATTTTATAATTTTTTTTCGTTGTGTCGAAACCATTGCACTGTTGAAATTTTGTTATCGTTTCTGTATAAATTGTTTTCGTTGCCGATTGTTCGCACTGTAGAAATGTACAGTCGATTACTCGAATTAAGTGCTGATTGTATTTGGTCGCTTAGCTGCATTTCTCACCGGACATCATTATTACTGTTTGTGGCCATTGAATGTATCTTAGCGATCACATTTTATAATTACTGAACATAATTTGTTGATTACTCACTGAAAATTGAAACGTGAAGTTCGTGTAAATAATTTGATTGTGTTCAAAAGGTGAGCAGTGAACGGGGCAATACCTTAACTGTTGAATGGTGGGTGAAATGGGTTCAGAAGTGACTGTTTGAAATTAAAACCTAGAACTGTGGAACACGAGTCTTTTTGGCTTCAAGGTAATTTATTTAAACATCAGTAGTATAAATAAAATTTAAAAATATGATCTTAAGTGAACTTTTACAGTATAAAAATAAATCGGAATGAATTACTAACATAATCATCACACAATAATAATATTGCCAACCGATGAAACGTTCAACATGACAACCTTGAAATCTCTCGATCAGAAGGGTAAAAAGGAAATTGGTCAAGTTCACAACCGATTTTCGAGTAAATACACCTGCCAATAGACAAAACAAATACAGAAATGATAACAACCAATGTAAGCTGGATGGACCCATATTTCAAAAAAAAAATTGAACAATGCAGTGAGGCTGACACATGATCATAAAATGTAGAATAGGGAAAGAAATACGCGCAAGGCAACCGAATGAACTACCAAATGAAGATTTGAGAAAAACTGCACATTTCTATTTAAAATGACATTTTTGTTCTACTGTTCAAATTTATCACGTGTTGCTTTCACAAATTTCCAATGGCACTTAGTGAACAATTCAATTCAACGATCGCTAATATCAACGGTACGAAGGTGAATACTGTTATTG